TACTCGGTGTGTTTCCACCGCAGGAACCAGAATCGAAATAAAGTTCCAGGTAAAAAATTGCCCCTCAGAAAGTCCCTGCTCGCGAGGTAGCACTTTTTCAAAGGTCCGGAACTTTCGGGGCGGGACTTGAGCGCTGAACATGCTGATTGGTTGAGTTCACGCAGCATTGTATTTCAACCACCATTTGCATATATATATATATATATTTTAAATACTAAAAAATTATTTAATATATTTACAAATATTTTGGCATATAAAGTATATAATCAGTATGTTTGACAAAACAGGACCATAATTGCAAAAAGTAATGCGTTTTATCATTTTGTTCAGAATTTTTGAAAGCCATAATTGTAATTGAAAATAAAAATGTTATTAATCTTACTGGTGCAAGTAAACGTTTGAGTCTATTTTTCAATGTAAGTTAACGGGATTTTTCAGCCATTTTGTCATTCACCAGTCATAAATCATCAAGCTGATTGGTTTAAAAAGTAGTAGCACACTTCTTCTCAACAAGCTTCACAATTTGAGGTATCGTTTTTGTTCGTAGTACAGTCTGTGTGGGAATGAGTTGCATACTGAAGTTTGCTACTTGGTGTTAGTAGTTTGTTCAGATCCGTAACCTCGAATATGCCTTAGCAAACAACAGTAATAATGTTTTTCATTAAGAGCAGTTGTTTGTCACTGGAAGCTAGATCAAACCATTTCAAGTGATCTATGACTGAGCTCTAACTTCCCAATTCAAAATATTTTTTTGCAAGGTTTACCTACCTTCATAAAAATGCACCATAAATAGCTATAATTTCAATTTCAGAGAAGAGGCATGTGCGGTGGGTACCAGTCACTCTTGTTGAATAACTGTGGTATCCTCTGCTTAAAGGAATTCTAACAGCATTCAGCAATGGAGCCGGGACCTTCCTGCATGTGCGGTTAGTGTGTAGCTGGCTCATAGGGGAGATATTATTAGAGCTAGAGAGCTATGCCTGTTATGAAGGGATTTCCCAGTCTTGAGAGCTGCCGGTCAGGAGCTGTTGATGTGGCAATGTAAGCACAATGTTTAAGCACAATGTTGCCTCGGTGGCAGGCATTCGAATATGAAAATGTAAGAGGAGATGACTAACTTCTATCTGTCTGACATCGGCTTGAGCGGAGAGAGGCAGAAGTCAAGCCGTTGTGATGTCAGACGGCATTTAAGAGGTTAATAGGTCTCACGACACCCTCGTCACTTAATCACAGTCAAGATGATACAGTCATGGCTTACTTTGCCGTCATGTTTTTCATAAGCAATTTTGAAATGAAAATGCTGACATCATTTTATAATAATTTGGTTTTGTATCAGAAATACTGTTTTTGTAAAGGTGGATAGACAAATATACTTTTTTATTAAAAAAATGGATAATTATGTATAGTGTAGAACAATGATTCATGGTGAGTAGGGATATTACTGATTTTTTTAATTTACTTTTAAATGTTTAATTGTGAACATTTTTTGTGGGCTGTTTATTGACTTGACATTTATTATCAACTTAACAGTATAGGCCAGAATTGTATTTTTGGTGTATCACTAATGATAAAACAATAAAAAAAACAAATACATTTTTTTTTTTTATTCCTGTGATGTTATTCCTTTTTTAAAATTTATTTCTGTCAAAGATGAATGCTTTAGCAGCCATTTCTTATAACAGTTGTGCAGCTTAATATTTTTCTTGAAACGGTGATATATATATTTTTTCTCAGGATTCTTTTAACAGAAATTTTAAAAGAACAGCATTTCTTTGAACTGTTACTTTTGATCAATTTAATGTGTCCTTAAATAAAAGCATTGATTTCATAAAAAAAATGTTACTGACCCCAAACTTTTGAATGGTAGAATTTATATTCCACAGCAATGTAAAGGTATATTTGAAGGAGTTCCTATATATGCTGTGCACTTGCATTTATTGCTATTATTATTTTATTACATAGGCAATTTATATTTGTCTGCAAAGCTAATTTCAAGCATTTCCACAGCTAATGTGGTGAACTATACCGGTGGTTTCTCTAGTAGGACACCTGTGTGAACTTGAGAGGAACTGACTCATTCATCCAGTAAAATCACCTTGGGACTAGTAAAAGTAATTACTAGAGTGAAGTTAGACAACTGAAAGTCAAGCGTCATTTGTTGCAGATGCCACTTGGTTTGATGTGTTGTTGACATTTTAAGTGTGTCTTAAGTGTCCAAATGCTTTTGAGGGCTTCAGGTAGTCATGCCTTAAATCCATCAAACTCTTCTGACTTAATAAGGTTTGAACAGTATTGCTACTAAACACACTTGTGTTCTTGAAACAATGGCAGTGAAGCGACCACAAATTTGTGTTTGCCAAGGGGTTCTGGATCCAATCAGACAACA